CACACACACACACACACACACACACACACACACACACACACACACACCACCTTGCGGACAAGAACTGATTCACTTTTATTTCTATCCCCAGAATCTAGAATAGTGTCTTAAATGTGGCAGGTATTTAATATATGTTTCTGTGAATTAATATTCTATAGTGGAAGGCCAGTAAAAGTTACCTGTGACTAAAATAGCTCTAAAATTCACATTGGTGCAGAAGTACAAATACTGTGAAACTTTTGTTGGCATGTATATGTGTTTAAGTACACATGTGCAAGGGAGGAATGTAGGAAATTTGGTTACATTAAAAGATAAAGTTGAAAGTGGCATAAATTTGATGTAATGCTATAAGTGTACGAGTTCACTGCATGTGATATCCTGGAAGATAGGAAATGACAATATTTTTAATCCTAATAAAAATGTAATCTATTTATTGACCACATGCAAAGAGCTATAAAAGATACAAAGAAGCACAGACATGAGGGACTTCTATATTAATGAGCTTTGATTCTAAATTGGGGTGAAAAGACATAAGCACACAAAATGATCATTTAAAATTTGAAGCAGTACTTGACTGACAATTGGTATAAAAAGACAATAAGTTTCCTAAGACTTAGAGGAAAGAGAAAGTTTTTTAGGTTGGAGCAGAAAAGAGAAACTTCATTAAGGTGAAAGATAGCTAGGATTTAGGTAGATGGAGAAGGTATTTTTTTTTCCTTTTGAGGAAGCGTGTTGTACAGGATAAATAGCATGTACAAAATTGGGTGGATGTGTATGGGCGAAATGTGTTCAAGAGCCAAAAAGCAGACAATGTAGCTGAAAGAAAGGATTTCTGATCAGGGAATGTGATGGTGGGAAGAGAACAAAGGACAACTGAACAAGGAGATTTCAAAGAGACGAAGTAAAACACTGCAGTGTCACAATAAGCAAGAAAGGAAAGAGTTTCAGGTGATGATTAATAATGTCAAATGTTGCAGAGTTTAAGGAGAAATATAACTGAGCACAGACCATTGCATTAGACAATTCAAAGGCCACTGGTCTGTGACAGCAAAACTTCCAGAAAGAAACTGAGGCAGAAACCAACTTGCAGAAATCATAAACCTAAAGCTGGACCTTAGAAGTCATCTAATCCAAACCCATTTTACAGCGGAGGAAACTGAAGCCTGGTGTCTGGACAGTGAGGTCACTTGCCCAAGGTCAAAGGGGTATAAATGCCAGAAACCACATATGAATCCCTGTCCTTGGATTCCCAGTCAAGTGCCTTATCTGATGTTCTGATATGCTTTATCTGATGATGTTCAACACAACACTGTCCTGAATGACTAAAGAAAGTTATTCTGCCAGACACAAGTATGATTTCTACTGCTGGTTTCATATATACCAGGCCACTTTGGCTATCCAGAGTCCCAGAGAATTGCCACAAAACCAAAAGGCAGAGGTATAAAGGACAAGTCAGAGGCTTCCCATGGTGTTCAATCTTATTCCTCCTTCCAAAAGGCAATCTAAAAATTGACTCTGATGTTGATTTCCAGACTACTATAATAAATACCTCTTCCACATGATTGGCACTTTAAAAAAATAATTTTAGCACATATGATCACATGTTGGTATCCTCACAACCACCTTTGAAGTAGGTAGGGCTGGTGGTGTCATTCACACCTTACAAGTCAGTTGAGAGAGACCCAGAGATGTTTGAGGTCACCTGGGTACATAGTGGTGGGGCCCAGGTTTATTTTTCAGCTTTTCTTCTAGTGTTCCTTTCATTACATTATGCTGCCTCTCAAACAACCTGATAAGAGTTGCCTCTGGCTTTCCCACACAACTGATCCAAGGAAAAATTATTTTTCACAAATTGGAGGATAGGATGAAAAATAGTGCGTATGGAGGTAAAGGTTATTTTTTTTTTAAAGGTATAGGGGGATAAGAAGCTATTTGCAGAAACTCAGCATCAGAAAGCCCTTTAGAACGTAGAAGGCCAAAACACCCTAGAACAATATACTTGAGAATGCATATACAACTGAATAATGCTGAAATGAAGTTGTGAATATAGATAATTTACTAGAAAGTGAAACAGAATCATATCTAAAAGAGGAAAAGGGTCAAATAAAGATTCATTACCAAGATATTAGAAATGTATACACACTTTTATTCAGTGAGAACCTGGAAGGAGATATTGAAGATGTTACAATGTAGGCACAATTTTGGTAGAAAGGTCATAAAGGTTGAGGAGATAGGATCAAGAGGAGATAGGATCAAGAAGATCCTTGAAAAGCAGGAAAAAACTTACCTTTCTCAGAGCACAGGAGATGATGTGGAGATGGCTAGTGATAAATGAATAGTCTGAGATGGACAGCAAGGTGTATTGAGGGGTTCTACACCAGATAATCTCTTTGTTCTTACTAAAATAGGAAACACAATCATGTTCCAAATGACAGAAGGGGTTTGAGCCTCGAGGGAATGAATAAAGGTTTGGAACAGATGCTTTCAGTGATAGGCTAAAGGATCAACAAGAAATTGGAGGTGGGGGAAGTGCTATTTTTGCAACCCAAGATGAGCAGAGAAAGTGAACAATATGATGAAATCATTCTGTGTCCTTTGGTTGAAACTCTGAATCTGGATGTAGAATGTTTAATTTTCCTGGTTGGTGCTATGACATATTAATTATGTGAGAAGAGCATGATAATGAGGCAGTTTTAATGTTCTTTCATGGAATGAGAATGAAAAGTTTGCGTAAATCTAAAGGCAGCATACACAAAATGTGACTCCAAAAAACAGAGCCAAAGGCTTAGAACACAGCATGTGTAGCCTTGACTAGGCTTAGAGTTTCCAAAAAACAAGGGAAATACGTTGGCAGAGCCAGCAAGTCTGGATCATACATTTTATGACTGACTTTGGATTCCTGGAATAGGATCACCAGTTTAGGACCTGAAAATACTGTGAGATTATACATTGTGAATTTTGTAGATTTTTAGCTTTCCCCTGACACACTAGAAAAAGTATGCAAAGCCTTCTGGGTCACATGATTAACAAATGGAGGACTAGATAGTTTCTCTGATCCTGTCAGCCTCTCAGACTTCTTCAAAACAGAAATTATGCACCAAACATAAAGCAACTTCAGCTGCTCCATGATTTAGGTCACCTAGAATTCAAAAGAAGTCTAAAAAGTAAAGCAAGACAACTGATTACACCATTGAGTTAATTGGGCACACCTCCTTTACCTCCTGAGCTACTGGCTGTGATGCTGCACTTAGCTGACTCAAGGACAAGGACCGTCATGCAGGCTCCCACAGAACCGATGCCTGGTCCCTGGTTCCCTCATACCTCCTCCCTCTCTCCAGTGCTGTGGAGATCCCAGCTTCAAGCTGCAGAATTTTACTCAGCCATGACAGCCAGGCAGCACTTTAGCAGCTTTCCAGGGATAGAAGTTGGGGGAGGGGAGAAAAACGGA